AAGGGGATGAGAATGTTGAGAAAAGCCACACACATCACTGTGGTCCCTCTCTGTCTCTGTGGTTCTCCCTGATGTGTCCCCGGTATCCACCACAGGGACTGGTAAGCCCACGGTCAGTAAAATGGACAAATCTCTTATGGTCCCCAGAGAGCCTGGGTGGTCTTGCCTCTTTATAAGGGGACTTTCTGGGTCAGGGTTCCATCAGATTCTTGTAATAAATGTTCTCTTTGTTCCTGAGCTGGATAAAAGTGGATTAAAGTTTGAGAATCAGAGCCCCAAGCTGGAGTTGCTGGGACCTCCACCCCCTTGGAAGGGCGAGGAGTTGGCCTCTCGGGTTACAGATGTGCCCCAGCTGGACGCGGGGCCCACACTTCTCTCTCCTCGATGTTTGTTGCTGTTCAGCCTTAGAAGAGCTGCTGAATCAGCCTTCCCTGGCCAGGGCTGGCTCTCGGAGCCAGGCTATCCTGTATCTCTCACACTATCCACCCCTTAGATAAACAGCTGGGCATCCTCTGCACACTGCGAGGTTCTGATGTGGTCGCAAAGGGCTCCATTAGCCAAACGCCTCTCTCTCTAAGAAGGACCCTGGCAATGGGCCCTGCTTGTCTTCTAGCCTGAGTCAGGCCTTTGCCGGAGTGACAGGAGAATCCACTTCCTGCCCGAAAAGGTGGCCGCAGCAGAAGTCTGTGCTGGGCGGAGCCTTCCTTCCTCCCCTGCCCACGCACCAGGCTTCCTCCTCCCGGAAGGCCTGTGCAGGCCTCTTCAGGAGACGCCCCCCTAGCCTTTCACTGAGTGCTTTATCTCTCGAACCCAGCCCTGACCATTGAGCGCCAACCAGGTTACAGGGCCACTCTGCAGCCTGCCTGGCCCCCGGGTGGGGTGACATTGGGATTGTATATCAAACATGGCCCAGATGTTTATTTTTTATTCCACCGCCCACCTCTCTGCCATAGATGCTGAACAGTGCAGTTTGCAAGCCCCCCACGCTGAGTAAACTCAGCTGGGCCGCCTTCATTTGGCTTGCTCTGGAGTCTGAACAAGGCGATTTGCTTTCTTTGAAAGATGACCTGGGGCCAGAGAGAATACCTCCGGCAGCTGGTTAGTGGTGAGCCTCAGGGATGATAGAGAGGACAGACGCCAAGGCTCTGCAGTCTCCACAGTGGTGCTGCGGTTAGTGACAGGTGTGGCCAGGCTCCGCACCTGAGAGCTAGGGCTGGAGGGGAGCAGGTGGGCTGGGCCCTCATGGCTCTGGACAGGACCTGTTGACACAGTACCCTCAGCAGGTGGCTTGTGTCAGCTCAGCCCCAGGAAGGCCCTGTTTAAGCCAGAGGTGGGGGAAGAGGAGAATCTGTTACAGAAGAAGGAGAAGCCAGCTGCACAGCATCCTCCAAGAGGCCGTTTGAGGAAAACTCAAACCCGCAGGGCTGGCAGGTGACCCGGCCTTCCGGGAGGCTCTGAAACCCACTGAGGGACCTCGGACTGCTCTTCAGCGGGAAGGGCCCAGGGACTGTGACTGTCACTCTGCCACGCTGGCTTTACCTCCTCCAGGAAGCCTTCCCCGACCTCCTCCTTCAGCTTGCATGTTCTCATCATTCCCTGTCACTCCTGAACTTGCTTGTCTGTTTCTAGCACCAGGAGAAAAGTTCACAATCTTCCAGATGGGGCCCAGGAAGCAGCATCTTTAATGGACACCCACACCCCTTAGGTGACTCGGGTGTGGGCAGACTTCAAACTGCACTTTGAGGGTCGTCTTGCTGCCGAGCAGCCTGTCCAAATAGAAGTGGAATAATAGGAGCCACATAGGTAGTTCAAAATTTTCTAATAGCCACTTCGAAAATGTAAAAGAGAACAGGTGAAAGGAACCGTTTCTAAAGTATTTTTTAATACAACCTGATATACCCAAAATATCCTCTATCATTTCAGCATGCAATCAAGATACAAATTGTTCATAAGGTATTTCACGTCCCTTTTGTTCTGTTTTACTGTCTTTGAAACCTGGTCAACAAGCCGGCAGTTTTAGCACCACCTGTGAGCTTGGTCAACCTGCAGGATCTGAGCTCCTGCTGGCGCTGCGGAATCAGATCCTGCATTTTAACAAGTTGGCAGAGGCTTCGTATGTGTTGAAGGCTGGGAATCACTCTGCACTTGATCTAGACTGTGAGCCCTTCATGTAAGGACTGGGCTTTCGTTATTTGTGGCACCCGCAGAGGGTGCAGCACCTGCGAGGTACACGGCATGTGCTTTTGGAGGAAAGTAATGAATGCCTGAATCCTGCCTGCCCCTGCCCACTCTGCATTTCCTATGCACTCTTAACGAGAGTCTCAGAATCCTAGGTCTGAAAAAGAATTTAGGAGTCAGAGAACGATTGTGTGTCAGAGCTTGACCGGAATTGAAAGTTTCTGTAGCCTAATGCCCTCGAGCCCTGACTTGGGTGAGCCCCAACTTGGGTGAGCCCCACGGTTTGTTAGGCACAGCTGGCCCCCTTCTTTCAGGAGAAAAGTGGTTTGAGAGGGCAGACCACACCCAGGCGCGTTGCTGGGCCTGCCTTTCTCTGCAGCCGCCTCCATTCTCTTCCTCGGGAATTCTGCGGGGCCAGTGCTCGGAAGCCCGGGGCTGGCGACACGCAGCACTCATCCATCTGTTCGTCTTCTTCCAGAACAGATTTAAGGCACCTATAAACATGCATAGATTTCAACAAATTGAAACAAAAATAGAAAAAGCAGTAAAAAGGGGTGCATGGATGCAGGGACTAGGATCTTCATTATAGTTTTGCACATAGCCTTGAAAAGTCAGAAACAACCTAAATATCCAACAGCAGCAACGTAGCTAAATAAACCGCGGCCCATCCAGACACTGAATTCTGTGTCACACCTGAGAATGCTGGCGTGGAAGTGTGTTCACTGACATGGGAGGGAGCTGCTGACACAGTGGAAGAACGTCGCCCAGCTCATTGTATCTGTGTGCGTGGAAGAATGTCTGGAAGGGGTGTATATCCCACAATATTAATGTTGCGTTTGCAGGAGGAAGGGTTCTGAGTGATGCTTATGCTCCTTTAGACCAGCCACTGCCTCTGTAATTTCTAGTTTTTCCCCTTGGTGAACATGAATTTTTATGTGACACAGAAATAAAGTTTGCAAAACAGAAAACGAGTGAGGAAAATCGGAAAAAGAGAAAATCAGAGTCCTGCTCTATGTAGAATTTATTTGAAAACATACTGATTTCTCTTAAAGTCCTAACCACAAGTTTATAGCGTTACAGCACAGCGGCCCTGTTTACATGTAGCAGGCAATTATTAAGCGTTTGCGAGGTGGACTCACACGGTGGGGTTTGCAAATTCATGAGCCAGCTTTTCATAAGTTGCGGTCTGCATTCGGGGAAGTGAAAATCCATAACGGTGCAGTCTCTGTTTTGTTTTGAATGGACTCCGAGAATGACCCGCTCTCCACGTGTGGGCTCTGAACAGCCTGCATGTGTTGGATAAAGACTGTGCAAAAGAGAGTCCTAACGTCACATGTGAGAGCTGGGTGGGTGGCTGGATGGATGGATGGTGGATAGGAATAGTGCGTGCACACACACACACACACACACACACACACATACCTACGGGAGTTCTGGCTCAGAACCACTTTTACCACCTCCAGCACTGGCACTTTGACCCAAGCCACCTTCAGAAGGACCCTCACTGGTCTCCCTGCCTCCACTCTGTGGCCCCCCCACTACCCTGGAGCTCGAGCCGTGCTCTTCACGATCTGGCGGGTCCCGCCTCTTGGTTCTCGTTGTCCGTACCTCTGTCCCTCACTCACTCTGCTCCAGCCGCGCTGGCCTTTTCAGGCTCTTTGCCCTTCCCAGTCCCCGCCCAGTGTGGCTCGCCGCTGCACTTTCTGTCTCCACTGAATGGCCCACCTGACGGGCCTTCCTCACCACCAGGTTCTCGTTCAACGCCTTATCCTAATTCATTTGTCTTCGTGGCGCTTATTCCCCCACCCCCACCAGAGTGCATATGTACTTGTTTATTCTTTGTTTCCCTCCATTAGAATGCAGACTCTCTGAGGGCAGAGGCTTTTTTTTCTTTGCTGCCCCTTTCTTAGTGCCCAGTGTACCAAGTAGATGCTCAATAAATACAACATTTGAAGGAAGAAATGGACTTCAGCTGTCACATGACTTGTCTTCCTCATTTTATCAATGAGGTGCCTGAGGGTCAACTGAGAGAGCCCTGGGCTCTGTCCAGGGTCACACAGCTGGGTCTGCAGGGCTCGCCCTGCCCTCTGCACTCTGCACTCCGCTCCGGCTCTGCCTGTGCCTCAGAAGGGGTGAACAACACGCCAGGGGCAACAGCCTTGGCCATCCTGTGTCCTGTGTGTTTTTCCAGTTTATGCAGAATTTCAGCCCAGAATAGCAGAAGAAAAAAAAGTTGTTCCTCCAGAACTCTGGAAACTCTTCCAGTGGGTCCGTCCCTGGAAAAACAGCCAGGATCTCAGGGTGGGAAGGTAGGAAACGAAGGAGGGGTTCTTCCAGCCTCAGGGGCAAAGGGCTGGATTTGGTTTTGCAATTAAAACAGCGTCCGGGTCTGTTCCCAGAGAATGGGCTCTGGAAGGTGGGTTTATCTGAAGTAGCAGGCAGGCTCTTGCTCCATCCTGGCCCAGGAGGGTTTGGAATGACAGGTGGTTTCAAGGCTCATGGAGCATATGATGTGAACAACCTGGGCCCAAGGAAGCTTCTGGAAAGACCACTTGCAACCTGGTGTGAAAGCCTGCTCAACGGCATCTCCAGACCGCCCCCACCTGGTCCCCATCCTTCCTTGAGCTCACCCAGGTGCCCCCTTTGATGCACAGAGGGCTCTGGCCTGCCCGCTCATGCCCCATGTGGTTGGTAATCGTCTGTGAAATGAGGGCTCTGAGGCGTCACTCACCCGTGTGAGGGCAGTGAGTGGAGCGGAGTGGGGAAGGGATGCTGAGGACGGATCCGGGCTTCTAATCCTGTCCCTCTGTCCCATGTTTCAGATGCAGCTTTTGGATAAGTTTCCCATCGAAGGTGGACAGAAGGACCCCAAGCAGAGAATCATTCCCTTCCTCCCAGGTAAGCTTTTGGATCACCCCTGCTGGGATAAGGGGCAACCTGGGGAGGGGCATTCCTTAGGCCAAGAAAAGCCTGCTCCTAAGCCGGAAATTCTGGGCAGGGCAGGCCTAGGATTCTTCATGTTAACAGTTCCCCAGGGGATTGGAAGTCCCTGATTATGGAGGCTGCTGTCCTCACAGGGTCCTCTCCCACCACCCCAGTGCCATCTGTGGCCCTGGACCATGTAACTGCCGAGGAGTTTCTCAAGTTCTTGGATTTAGGGTCCTTTTCACAAAAAGCACAGAGGCCAAATTCTCCTCTGAAAGGATAAACGCCCGCAGGCTGAACCCTCTCCCACCACACTCACGGAGAACTTGAACGCAGCACACGTCCTGGCTGGTCTCCGCCAGGGTCTCCACCGGTCCTCCCTGCACCATTGCCCAGGCGAGGCCCCGTGCCCGCCCTGCCTGCCCTTGCGCTCTGTTGAGGGACTCTGGAACGTCTCCCACTCAAGTTTGTAATGACCTTAGATGTTGCTCCTGTTGAGTTCAGATGCTCTGCCCACCAGGGGCACAGACTCCAGCTGGGGTGCTGTAGACACAAGTCTCCCAGAGCCAACAGGAAGCCAGTGGGTGCCCTGGTGCTGGGGTGGACCTGGCCTTGGGCTCAAAGGCTGCCTTCTTGCTCAAGAAAAAGGGGCCAGTGCCACAGGGAAAGAGGACCTCATTGTCATTCAGCCCCTGGGTATTGATAAAGGGCTCATCCCAGGAGTAAGTGCCTGGGGTGGGGGCAGGGGTGGCCTGGTGAGTCAGGGGACATCTGGACTTGTTTCTGCTCTCTCAGGAATCCTCGGGCCATGGGGATTGAGACAAGACCTAGTAAAGACTAGGCTGTACTCCCTAGATAGAGAACCAACCAGTTAAGACAGGATGTGACCCTCTGCACTGTGAAATCCCAGCTGTGGTGGGGAAGGGGCTCGCAGGGAGCCGAGGAAGGCAGCCAAGGCCTCCTGAAAGAGGGGAGGAAGCCTGGGCACGGGCGGAGGGCGAGGTGAAGTGCAAGTGTTCCGTCCTGCTGCTGCCACAGTCCAGTGTCTCAGGTGTCGGGTTGCCAGGCTTTACCCCTACCCTGAACTGGGGCTATGGCGGGTTTCAAATGTTCTCTGTGCCCTCATCTGGAGAGTGGGGATGACAATGCCTAGTTCATGGGGCTGCTGTAGGGGTAAAATGAACACTGGGGTGCCTGGACCTACAGCCGGCCTCTAGTGGGACCTTAAATACATGTTAGTTAACCTTCATCACAAGCAGCTCCTGACACGTGCCCAGCATGGGACACAGCACAGCTGTACATGTAACTCATTTGATGGGGTTATGTCCCCATTTTACTGGCTAGGAAACTGAGGCCAGGGAAGGCTAACAGACTCACACAAGCCACACAGCCAGGAAGTGTAGCCAAAGCCAGAACTCTTATCTCTGACTCTGAGCCAGGGCCCCCTCCACACCCGCTGCCCCCGAAGAGGATAATCCGATGGTTGCCGTGGGGCTGGGGCCCTCCCTTACAGGAACTCTTCCGGCCTCCTTGTGGTGAGGATGAAAGGAATTCACATAAAGCAGTTTGCATGGTTCCTGTCCCATAGCAATTGCTCAATAAATGACAGCTGTCCATAAACAAAGGCACCTGCCCCATGCCACCCCCAGCTCCCTGGAAGGGGAAAGCGTCGGACCCCTTCCAGCCCCCATATACCTGCGACCTGTGTGTAGTGGGTGGCCCTGCCTAGAGCAGCGATCTGCAACAGGTGTGCCGCAAGAGTTTTTAAAACACCCACACCTGACTGTCGAGTCAGGGGCACTGACCTCTTTTCCCTGAGACTGTCAAATAAAAAATGACAGCAGCCAAGACAACAATAGCTGCCTGGTGTGAATGAATCACGATTATACCTATGTTTTCTGTCAGGTCAGCAAAAGATACATGTTCCGTTGTGCCACGGAATTGTAGGCACCAGTTTACGTGTGCCGTGAAATGCAAAAGGTTGAACATCGCTGGTCTAGAGGAATGAGGTTGGCTAACCCCCAACTCCCATCTCATCAAAGGAAGTCCTGCTGCTTTCTCCCCTGCTGCTCACTCGCTCCCCATAGCATTGCTGGCCATTTGGAGTCCCACTGGAGGGCTCCCAGGCCCTCTTGCTGGTGCCCCCCTCGCCCCACTAGAAACTACCTTAACCCTTTCATACTCTACTTAACTTGGGCAGGGTGGAAAAAGATGGAGGAAAAACAACCTAACATAATGAGAACCATGCTAGGGAGAGCCAAGTGGGCATGAGGGGTCCCAGCCCAACCCCACAGCACCAAGTCAAAGGGGTCCCCCAGGAGAGGGCATCAGAGAAGGGCAATGATCAGTGTTGCCTGTGTTGGGTCATGGACCCTGAAAGCAGAGCCTGAGACAAGGATTCTTATGCAAATGGCTTTTGAGGGCTGCTGTCAGTGCAGGGTGGGGGGGACAGGGCATGGCAGGGGAGGGTGCCATCCTAGGGGACAACTTCTGTACCTGCCATGTCAGTCATCCATAGGCTGTGGGCTGCCCCCTTCCCCAGATGGTGTGGTGTGTGGCAAGGTAGCTCCTGAGGACTTGAGGGCTGAGGGGGGAGCCTTTGGAGGAGGGGCAGCTGAGAGCCCTCAGCAGCCAATACCCACAGCAGTGAGGGGTGGACCGTGAGCTGGTAAGGGGCCGAGAGCAGTGTCCCTGCAGATCTTCCCTGTGACGTAACACCAGCTCGAGCCTCTGCTTCCATCTCCCTTTGGGGAGGGTGGCTGCCGTCTGTCACCTGCTGCTTCTCCCAGCCTCAGTCCCTGCAGCGGTCACTCAGCAGAACCTCAAGAGTTCAGACACACCAACTACTGCATCCCTCTGCACTCTTACAGCCCCGGGAAGGGTTCGCAGGGACCGCTCTGCCAGCCCTTTGCTTCATCTGGAACTTCAGAGTGAGAAAGACCCAAGGGGAGGAAGCAGAGAAAACCCGTTCGTTATCTCCACAGGAGCCCCAGTCTTGGCTTCAGAGATGCCGGGACATGGTGTGCATTTCCAATGCCCTGATCTGGGCTCTGGTCTGGGGGATGTGTTTGGAGTGTTAGGCCAGCTGCTTTGCTTTGGCCCATGTGGCTGTAGGCTCGTGGCTGGGGACTCTAGAAGTTTCACTGGCTAGTGGAAGTGACGGAGAAAGAAGAGAAACTGAGAGAAGAAAGGGAATCCAGGCTCACATGGTTATGTGCTGGCTTATCTGCCAGTCAAATCCTGGCACAAAATTCTGCACATGAGTCGTAAATCTTAGGATCTAGGACATAGGCTTTGTTTGGGTGGTGTATGGCCTGAGTTCAAGGTCAGCCTGTGGGTTTGAGGGTGTGTTAGCCTGTGGGCTGGGGGGTCTCCCGTGGCCAAAGACAGGCTCCATCCCAGGAGACCCTCACCCCAGGCACACCCATTGGCTCTTAGGGGACAGATACTGCTGGAGTCAGGGTTAGGGTGCGGGTGGCCGTGGGCAGGGCCAAGAGGGTGGGAGGAGGGGGACATGGTACACATCCATCAAATCTATATAAAGGTTTAGCAGGGATCTGCCCTTAGTGAGGGTGTCCCTGGTTGGTGTCACCAGGGCTGGAACCTGCTTTCTGGGCCCTGCAGGTGAAGATCCCCTGTGTCCAGGCCATCAGCATTTGTGAGGTGCTGCAGAGCCCACAGGAGGGGTGAGAGGTATGGGCCCCATGGGGCACAGGCAGTTCTCCAGCAAGGCATCCCAGGGAGGAACCCAAGTGGTTTCTTGGGCAGGGCTTTCTGTCGTGAAGCTGGGCATATAGGAGGTGCTTCATTCAGACTTGTTGATTGGTCACGAATTGAGCATTCTCCCTTATATGTAGATACATGTTTATTGCGCTCCTACTATGTGCCCAGCCTTGCTTTAGGCACTCTGCAAATCTTCTGTCCAGATCTTGTTGCAGGGCAGATGGCATTGCCCCATTTGGGAGAGATATCAGATCGTTTTTCACCCCCCTCCCCCTCCACTGAGCTATGCAGTGGGCTCCTTCCTTCTGAGCCCTGTGTCTTTCCTTGGACAGGGAGGAACTGCTGGGGCCAGTCCCAGTTGTACTGTCTCTCCTGCCTCCACATATCCCAGGCTGGGCCCTGGGACTTTATGGTAGAAGGCCCTCCAGCTGCCATTGCTGCCTTGTGCTTCAGGAGCGCACCGTGTGGGGCAGGGAGGGGACCTGAATCTCACGGGGACTCAGTGAGCTGAGAGGGCTCCCTCATTCCACTGAGTGGGTGAGGTCACCCATGCCATGTAATTCATTTTTTTCTTTGTTGAAGTGAAACCATTTAGTTAATTATCATTTTAGTACGATTGCCAATAGGATAGCCCCAAGGCTTCCAAAGCACTGCGTTCATTTAATTGTGAATTGGACACAATTGGCTGTTTGGTTTCCTAAGTCACAGTATTTTTGAACAACTTTTCGTTTGGAAACAAGTATAGCCCCACAGATGCAGCAGAAATCCTGGGCACTCTGCGTGCCTCCCCTCCGGTCCTACCACCACACTGTAGGGTGGGTAGCATCGTTGCCCATTAAGAGAGCGGCCAGATCACTTCCACCTGGCAGAGCTATTGGGCGGGGAGCCCATTGCCCAGCGAGCACCAGTGGCAATATCTTATGTATCGGCTGCACATCCTCAAACCCTGGAAACTGATACGAGCGTGACTCAGTTCGATAGACTCCAGACCCCAGTGATGAATTCTTACTGTGATGATGTGGAGCGTGCTGTGGAGCAGGCGTGCCAGCTGCTCTTATGGAAGGGGCGGGGGTCTGACATCGCCTGGAAGCTCCACCCCCGCCCCCACAAGAAAAGCTGGAAGGCAGTTTGTTTTACATTAAGGCACAGTCCTGAAAATGGCTGTGAAATTCAGCTCTTTGGGACAAATCACATCGTATTTTAGGTGTTCTAAATGCCATTCTGTTTAAAAGAGGCATGCAAGAAATCAT